CTTTTCGAGCGGGTCCGGTTGCATGACACTTTTCACATAGATAAAATCAAAGGCTTTCTCGCACAGAAAGATGTATATTCGTCTTCCAGTTTCAGAGCGACTTCGGCAGGGTCCGGAAAGCCTTTTTTTTTTTTTTTTTATCCTGCCACACAAAGCTGTGCCTTATGCAAAAGGCCGACATAACAGAGGTTAAATCGATTCCAAACTTTTTGCAGATTGTTTATAAACTAGAAAAGCTCCACTTAACTCAGTGTCCTGTGCATTATAGGTTTCAAACACTGTCTCTACATATACAAATAGGCATTAAGTGTCCTGAAGGCAAAGCATTGTAGTCTAAGACGTCAGGATTTGTGTATCTCTTCAGTTTTAGACCGAACTGGACAAGAGGACTTTAAGCATTTTTCTGGGTATTAAAAAAGGTAGTTTGCAGCCCAGATATTAATACAACGAGACGATACCGGAGTCTCTAACTCAGCACTTTCTGCTTTCAACACCTAACAAAATACGAAAGGGAAGCAAACGCTGCTGCTTTACACAAATTAATACCCAGGCACGAGAGCACGTAAAAAAGTGAAAATTATTTTAATTAGGAAAAACAAAACCAAAAAAACCCCTTGCCATATATAATAGTTACTTACCTTTTTTTTAAACCTTTTTTTTATTATGCCCATTTTTTTCTTTTTGTTTGGAAGAGTTAAAAAAAAAAAAAGAGGGGGGGGGAGAAAAAACAGATGCAGAAAAATGCTAGTTACAGTAATCCTGTGCGGATTTTAAGTAGAAATCTTCAAAGGGTGTCTAAGTCCATGCCGAGAGCCACGGCCGAGACCGCGCGGTCCCACGGCCACGCCACGGCGCACCCCCGCGGGCGACGGGTGCCGCCGGCGCAGCTCTCATCCGTGGAAAGGGGAGGAGGTCTGCGCTTGCAGGAGGAGGGCTCTTGGGAAGGGGTAACGCCAAGCACCTCACAGCAGTGCTTCTCCTTTCGCCTAATTAAAAAGGCGAGCGCAGCATTTTTAAAAGTAGAAAAAACACTTTCCTAAAAAAAAAAAAAGAAAAAAGAAAGAAAGTAACGCCAAGCACCTCACAGCAGTGCTTCTCCTTTCGCCTAATTAAAAAGGCGAGCGCAGCATTTTTAAAAGTAGAAAAAACACTTTCCTAAAAAAAAAAAAAGAAAAAAGAAAGAAAGA